AAGTGAACCAGGGAAAGTTCATGCAGAGATAATTCTGGATTTCTCCTGCCTCAGACGTAATTTGGATCTCCTATTACCAACAATTATCTCCATAGAATAAGCAGTTCAAAATCTAGATGGAGTGCTCCATGATCCTTCTGTTTATTCATTCAGTAACTGCTCCAAGCACTCACCTTGTGCTGGGGGATCTGGTGGGCCTAAGTGCAAGGCTTACAATGACAAAGGGGTCCCTGCCTGCCAGGTCTTCACAGTCTGGAGGGGAGATGAACAAAGGTATGAAAGACAAGACATGTGAAAAAAAGGGCAAGAACTGTAATAGTGAAAATAATGAGTCACTGGAGGGTATGAGACTGGGGAGTCACTGGAGGGTGTGAGAGGCCTCACTGAGGTGACATGTGCTGGGGCTAGAATGGCAAGAAGGAACCATCCTGCACATGTCTTCAGTGTTTCAGGGAGAAGATATGGCTGGTGCCGATAATAGGAGACAGAATTGAGTTTGTCCAGAAAACATAAGAAAGGTGGAAAGTGTGGCTGTGGGATTGTGGGAGGGGAGAAGCAGGGGGGAAGCAGAGGATAGGCCAGATGCTGGGACCTGGTAGACCATGAGTTATTCATTCCTATCTAATAGCATTATGCCAATACCTTAAATATTAAAACTACAAGTATTTAATAACTCGCAATTTTTGTGGGAGAGGAATCCAGGCACAGCCTAGCTGCATGACACTGCCTCAAAATCTCTATGAAGCCAGGGCTGTGGTCTCATCTGAGACTCAACAGGGTGATACTTTTCTCCAAGGTCACCCACACAGGCAATGTCAGAATTCAGTTTGAACTGAGAGCCTATTTCAATCTTTTGACCTGGGAACTTGTTTCTCTCCTATATAGGTTTCTCACAGGGTAGTACTTAACTTAAGTGCTTGTTTCCCCATTTCCAGGGGTAGAGGAAAGACAGAGGGAAGAAATGAGGATGGAGAGTGGAGGGAGAGAGAGAGAGGTAGAGAGACATAGAAAGAGGTGGAACACAAGACAAAGCAAGTAAGAAGGAACGACAGAATTTGTGTCATGAAATCTTGAAACTGACCTCCTATCACTCTGTGTTCCATTGGTTAGAAGGCAGTCACTAACAGCTTAGTGGTTTCACAAGGAGTGAAGTTTCCTGGCTGGACGTGGGTCACAGTCTGTGTCCTCTGGGGATGTCAGGAGAGTGTGTTCAGCAGGTTCACCCCAAAACTGAGAACAGTGACTAGATTCAGGAAATGGCTGTAAGTGATGAACATCTAGCCTCACTCATCATCAGAAAAATGAAAATAGGACAATGGATTTGGTGTAATTTCTCATCCACCAAACCAGCAAAATATATTTCACCAAATTCATGAAACTAGAGCCCTTGTTGAGCATTAGAGATAAGGGCACTCCTTTTTCAGTAGTGAGAGGGGCCTCAACTCTTTCACTGGAAGGTGATTGTTGCCATTGTTAGTGTCAGGCGTTGTGCGGGGTAAAGATAGGAGTTAGAGTCAAAAAGAATTTTTGCAGTTTAAGGCTTTATTGGGAACTAAGGTTCCGGG